GGTTTATTGCAGGTCGGGACACAGCTCCGGTCCCGGCCGACACGCCCGGAGCGGGCTCAACCCACAGGGAAGGGGCCTCGCCGGGCGCGGAGCCCGCCAGGGCCGGAGCGGAGGCCAGGGCACAGGCTGCGTTTTAGCTCCTTGGTGAAACCCCACGCGGAAAACGGCACCTTCCCCGCTTTGACTCCGATACAAACGGCAACGGACTGACAACCGCGACCGCAGCTTGCGATCGGCTTTTATTTCCCGTCTTTCTTGGACTTTTCCCTTCCTCCTTTTTAGAGATTTAAAAAAAAAAAAAAAACCTAGCAGGGCAATTGCAGTCAGCAGTTAATTCAGCGTCACAGCGGCGGCGGCTGGCTGGATCGCCCTCTAATAGCCCTGACCAAGCACTGATCCAGTGACAGTGAGGATCGGGATCCCCTCCACTACAACAAACGTGAAGTTTGGGTAAACATGAGTAAACAGATTAAGGCCAAGGAAAAAGTAGGATGTGCTCACGCTATTAAAAATCGCAGCCAGCAGGAGACATGCGAGGGGTGGGGGCAACTGAAGTTTAAATCTGGTATTTCCTAGTTTCCAAATGCTTGATTTGGCAACTTCAGCAATATCTTTGCCTTTTTGGAGATGCCGTTTCCTGTATTTAAACAAAAATCCTGAAAATTAAGGGTTTTTGTTTTGTTTTGTTTTTAACCACAAAACACGTTTACTGCCACGTGCAGCATTAGAGCTGGGACATGAGGGTCTCTGCAGCTCTACGGAAGTGGCTGCTGGCAAACAGCAGCTCATTACCCACCGAGGGGCTAAAAGCAGATGGACCCCCTTGGCCTTGGGAAGCTGCAGACGCCGCGAGACGCTGCAGATGGAGGAAAGTGAGGCTTCAGGTCCAGAGGCTGGAAGGGAATGTCCGCTGGTGCTTGTGGACTTGCCTGCTCACAGCCCCTGGTTTCTTCTGGTCCTATCCACCATCAGTGCCCAGCTCCTGCAGTCCCAGCCCACCTCACCACTTTGCAGTTCTCCTCCCTTTGCACTGGAGTAAGCAATGCTGCTGAGTACCAAAGTTGAAAAGAGCAATTTGGGCTACAGACAACAAGAAATATATCAATTAAAAAGTATTTTAGTGATGGTTCCCCAACAGGAGCCCTGGACCCACCATAGAACCCAAACACCAGGAAAGCTTGGGAGCAGCTGGCTCAGCTGGCTTGCACTCGGTCTTCAGTGTCTGTTGTGCCTGGAGGACCTCCTTCCTCCATCTGAGATGGAGAATGCTTATTTTGTCTCCTGTAAAGTAGCTCTGGTCCTTCATATACGCTCACTGGTTACCTAAACACCCAGAGCTTTCAGCTGCCTTCCCGCAGCCCTGAGGCTGCCCGCTTTCCTCTGACCGCTCCTCACCTTGGGCTACTGCTGCTGGTCCAGGCGCTCCTCCCTCCCTCTTGGCCAGTGGACAGCACGCTGAGCTCTGGTTCTCCCAGGTCCAAGGTCTCCTCCTCCTGCAGCAGCCTTGATTTGCTGCCCAATCCTAACAGATAAGGAAAAGGGACCGGTCAGAGGAGAATTTCTTCTTTGAAACCCTGCCACTGGAAGGGAGGCTCTAAAGGAAATGGAAACGGAAACTGAGTGATGAGAACTGACGATATTCACCCGATGCCTTACCCTCCACCCCGCTTTCATTTCAGGAGAGCCAAGAAGAACACGGGAGAGAGCATCTTCCTGCTCTTCATCACCTGCAGCTTGGATGAGCCAGGCAGGATCAGCCCCACTCGGCACCTCCTGCGACAAAGGGAACGCGTTACTGCGGGCACAGTCACATTGCCACTGCTGGAAGAGCTGGAGAGGAAGATGCTCGTTTAGTACCGTTCCTTAAAAAGTACCCACCAGTCGCTAACAAATCTCTGAGCGCACGGAGCATGAAACGTCCCAGAGGCTCGTAACTGGGCTGCATTTACGACTACATTTGCAAGACTTCAGAATTTATTAGAGGTTCGTTTCCAAAGTCACCAGAACTCCACTGCCAAAAGTTAAGGCGCTACTCCAAAGCGGAGAGGAACTAGCAGTTCTCAGTAAATGGGCATAACATGTTTTCGCTTTGTCTTGTTCTACAAAAATTGTTGGATTTTTAAAGTTGTATTTAAGGGAACTCCTCCAAACTAATTCTACCTGATCAGTTCAAGTGTTGTCTCGGCTCGATACCTTTTATTCACTGCCTGCTGGATTAGGCTTTTACTGCACAAATCTGCAGTTTTACACGACTGAAAACAGGGACTTCAAAGAGGAAGAATCAGCAGATCTCACTGCAGACCTCTCTACCAGAGCTCCCAGCCGCATTCGAGATGGACCTCACACTTATAAATCACTGGTTTTTCCCTGTGATAAAGGGGCCAAGAAATTTTTGCCCTAGGAGTGAGAACAAGCCATTTTTATAGCTCACTCAGTTATTGCTTTCTGTGCTGAGACTGCCAGTCAGGGTGCCAGTTACTGCTAGTTACAAGTGGTTTTAGGGTTAATTCTCTCCCACTTTTTTAATGCCATGCCGGACCGCTCAGAATCTTTCTTCTTTTTGTCCTGCTACCGCACTGCGCCCAAACACAGAGTTTTGGGACTTTTCCTGGATCGCTACTGAACAACTGCATCCAAGATCACGCTGCTGAAACACGTTCCCTTTCTGAATTGTATAACGCCACAAACCATTAAAAGAATAAATTTTAAAGAGGTATTTTTCTTCCTCAGTGTTCTACTGTACGCTGTGCTGGCAACATCCTTTAGCATGCTATCTGGCATAAATTTAAGGAATGCTAATAATGTATTATTAATGTACATTACTGTGCATATGATTTATTACACTAAATTATGCATAATATAATTACCCAGGTAATTAAAAATAAAGCAAAAGGTTGAGGAAGAAAGAGCACTGGAGGATTTCATCCTAAAGAGGAATTAACTGTGTGCCTCCATTGTTTTGCATGAGATTTATTCCCCATCAAACGTTCACAGAGAGGAAAATCTCTTTGCTGGACATCACCGGCGCTCAGCTCTCTCTGGGGCGGGCAGGCAGCAAGAGGCAACGAGAGAGAAATTTTAGTAAAGAATCCAGGATAAAACTTTGGTGCCCGACAATCTGAACATCCATCCAGAAGAGACAGGACCCAGCAGCGTTATATTAGTGTCTTATCTGCCCACCAAAGGGACAGCAGCAAGACTGAAAACACCCTGATCACGCGTTTGAGAGATGTAGGCAGACAGCCCCCCTTGCCCCCCGCTTTATCTTGGCTGGCTCCTACGAAGCGTGGGGCGAGAGTCCCGTAAGGAGCCAGCCCGGCAAACGGGGAGAAAAGGGGGACTGACGCTTTTTGTGATGCTCTGCAAGTACTACAAGAGGCCGCGCAAAGGAGATGGGTTAAAAGTAGTGGTAACTTCACCCCTCTTATCACTGCACTGGAAAACAGGCCCGTGACTGGTTTTCTTCCTAAGGCTGGATCATACGGAGAACAGACAGACAGACGCCTGCTACGTAGCAAAGCCTTTCCTGCGCGCTCCTGGTGCTTTGCTGTTCACGGGCAACCGAAGGCAGCATCAGGCCAGCGCCGGCCAGAGACAGCTCACGTAAACAAAGCCTGAAGCGTGGCAGCCCCCGGCGTCCCTGGCTCTCGCCTGCAACGAAAGGAAGGAAGTCAAATGTGAACGCTAAGAGGAACGGCAACACGCAGCAAGGCCGAGAGACACAGTTAGTCTGTGAAAGCGTGGAGCGCTGGTGTGCTGGAGACATTGGTGGCCCTTGGCGGGCCTCGCTTCTCAACAGTGATTTAATTATTTTAATATTAGACAGCCTTATAGAGCCCTGTTGAAGAGCACGTTTCCTTCTCTGAAGGAATCTGCACTTTCCTGGATTCCCAATGTTTTACAGGCACGAGAAGCCCATGGTCCTGTGATAACTTCCTGCACCGACCATCTATTTGAGGGCGCTTGGCAGAAAGCTGCAACTGTTTTCTCCCTCCAGCGATGAAGGGCTGGAAAGGAGGTAGCGCAGGTGTTGGCTGGCTGAACGCCTGCTGAAGCCATCACCTCCACGCTACGAGGAGCCGATTTTATTATCGGCGAAGCCTTGCCATGGCCCGAAGCCTTGGCATGGAAGGTGGTTTATTTAAGTCTCAGTGGATAACGCTCTGCACTGCTGCTGCGTTTAAAGCAGACGCTGCAGCAGCACTCCAGCAGAAACATCGCTTGGGGTGCTCCCACCTCCCCGGCTGCGGTGGGGCTGCCCAAGGCTCCCCTCCCAGCTGCTCCCTCCGTTGGGTGGCACCAAGCGAGACATAGTATAAAAGTGAATCCTGAACAGAGAATCCCTCCCCGCAACACATCTCTAAATGACAACAAGCAAATAAGAAAGTAAATCAACACCTCAGGGCAAGGAGGAGAGGAAAAAAAAAACCAAACAAGCTTCTTAAGAGTGGTTAAAGCAGAACAAACTCTGCCAGGTATGACTTCATTACAGCAGCTCTCCTCCCATCACCGCTGAGCGGCCCAGCATGGGCCACAAGAGACATTCGAACATGGAGTTTCAGCTAAGACAAACCTGCTCCAGCTAGGAAAACCCATGCTTAAGAAGAAGGTGAGCAGAGAGAAGACCAGTGGTTTTCAAGGAGCACCAGCCTCTAATAAGGGACTTGTTCTGTTCTCTCATGCACAATGAGTGTCCTCTTGGGCGGAGAGGTGGGAACGAGCACGTCCAGCTCTTGGCAGTCAGGAGCACAGCCCCAGCCATCGCTAGTGCAGCGGCATAAAAACCTCTGAGCGTAAGTCAGGAGTCTGCATTAGCGCAGCTGAGAAACAGCTCACGGTTGTCAGCGGCTATTTGACACACTTACCTACGTAAAACATCCCAGCAGAACGGCAGTTCTCCCTTCGGCCCTTCCAAGCTCAGCAGCAGCCACACAGCCCTCGGTACGATCACGAACATAGATTTGTAAACAGAAAACCAGTCAAACCTCCGGTTTTAGGGCTTCACATAGCGGTAGTCACGGGCCAGAAAGGAATCCTTTTCCCTCAACACATCGCTCTTAAGTTCCCTTCACATTTCTCTGAGGTTACCAGCTGGCCATAGCCAAGTGCAAGCTACCAACATGTACGAACTTGTTCTCAGAGGTAGTAAAGAGGTTTTTTTCCTAGAACAGTAGTTTCCAAACTGTGCATCTATGCATCACTTCCTATAGCGACACACATGATAAAAAAAACTGCAAACTGTTTTAAGAGATGCAAGTTTGTTATACAACAGTTGGCATCTCCATTTCAGGTTTGGGAGGAAGAAGGGAGGGAAGGAGTTTTAAAACTGCTCCTCTAGGTGCCTCGCTGCCGTCTCTGCTGACAACGCTTCGAGGACTACAGAAGAGCTGGTTTTCAGAAGGTATGTTCTGCCTTCAGGCTTTGGGCAGAGTTTTCCTCATCCCTGTCTGTAACATCACCAAGCTCCGCTGACCGGCAGCTTTCTGTTGTTCCAGGGTTCCCGGACACTGCCATTCCCTGCCTGCCTCAGCAAAGCAGGAGCTAAATGAGCAGAGAAATCCAGAGGTTTGGAACAGTTATGGATTCTGCAAAATATGAAGGAAGAGGGAGCATGGAAAGAGGAAGGGTGGGGTGCCAGGATGTGTGATACGAATAAGATACTTCCATTTAAACAATGTTCAGTAGCTTCTGTATTTAAATGATTCATCCCCCAGAGCACTTCAGCATTTGCCCTGCGTTAAGTGCCAAGAAACAGGTTGGAGTCTAGCTTCGTAGTCACAGTAGCTGGTGGGACTTTTTCCACCAAGTTCATCTCTTCATCCTGCAAACTTATTCCCTTGGTTCACGTTCAGCTGTATGCTGGTACTGGCTTTTCAAAAAGGTAAATAAGGTCACAAGCACCTCCCTTTGCTGCTTCTCTCTTCCTGATACAGTAAGGCATATAATGATACAAGCGATAACATTCTTCACTAGTATAAATAATATTTCCTTGTAAACGAGTTAGTTAACCAGGCACATTTATTTCAGGTTAGAATCAAGACTCTCATCACATTATCAATTAGATTCATATATTCACTTGCATTGAATATGGTCTTTCCAAATTGCCAACGGAATTGAGAAACCGAGCAGACACAGAGGTCAGGAAGGAATTTCACATCACGAGAACGTGAGCAGTCTAGAAGAGACCACCCTGCAAGGTTTTCCAGCTGCTAGGAGACAGTCACCACTTCTGATCCAACGTGACAAGGACTTACAAGACAAAATGGCAAAAGATGGTCAGCTCTTACAAAAGGCACAAAATCTTTTCCATTATATATTACACTGATGTTTAGGCTTAATATATAACTTTGCTTAAGTTCACGTTGTTTCAGCAGGCTCCCACATTCAGTGTTTCCCACTAATTACAGTTAACGATAAGGAAGAGGAAGCGGATGCACAAGACTGACTGGTACCTCTGGTACTAGGCTGCATTTCTCTGTGTACTGGCACACGTTCCAATGAGATATTTAATCTCACTCAGCCTCTGACAGACTCGTTCACAGCATACACGTTAAGGATATTAATCAGAGGAGTGTTTGCTTTTCTAGAAGCCAAGACACTCCTCCCACCCATATTCACAGGACTGAACAATTGCAGTGATCCTTCCAGCGCTCCAGCTGCCTCTGCTGCTGGAGAATCACAAGTGCCCAAAGTTTGTCATGAATCTACAGTCTGGGAGGTAGAAACTGCAGCAGCCAGTGCCTGCCTTACTGCAGTTTGCGTTGTACCTTCATCCACATGTTGTTCAGCACAATTTAAAAATAGATGTTTATGCCACACAAGTTTTAAACTTGTACGAGATGTTCTAGGAAGCAGAGAAAGTAATGTTACAGGGCTGTAACACTACCTAATGGCTTGTATTTCCCACCATCAGTAAATTGCTCGCCCTTAAAAGAAGCCCATGAAAACTTTACAAACCCTGTTCCTCACGGCAAGGGAAAGAAACCCTTAAATATAAGGTGGAGTGTGCCATCCTCTATAGAGCATGTTACTGAACCAAAAACAGAGGATGCCCCTCAGCCAAGGGAGATGTTACCATCTTCTACATGAGGAAGATGGAGTTAACGGCATCCATTACAAGTTTGTGGGAATCAAGTCAGCAGCCTGATGCAGAGTTACTTTGGCAGGTAAACAGAAAGATACTTTTATCTTGCTGTTTTCATGCCCTTAATTTTCATTACTTTAAAAAGAATTCCACCTTCTCCCCAATTTCCCATGCCTACAGTCTCATGTACTCCCTGGTTTTCCCCCGCTCCATGAGCATTCTTGGATACACAGCTCATTTTTAAAGCTAAAACGATAGTCAGGACAAAGTGCTTAACATGTTTTAAGATTCTTTGAAAGCAGGAAAACTCCTCTATTTCCTTCCTTAAGTTTTCATATTTATAAGTTTTAGATCACTGTTATGAAAACATAACATTGAATTCTAAGAGACTTAAATCATGATCTAATGAAGAACTGAAGACTGTACTTAAAGCACCTGAAGCGACCACTGGGGAAGAAAAATCCAGGTTAGCAGCTATTCCTCTAAACAAATGGAGCCACTCAAGTTATTGCTCCCACCCACCTCAAAACTGTGGACAAACCACTTTACCAATGGCAACTCCGCTCCTTTTTAAGGGACTGCCCTCTATAGATGAAGAGGATTGTGTGAAGTGTCTTGGTGCTAACACTACTGAAGAAATTTAAGATGCTGGAACAGGTTTAAAAAAATAGCATCAAGAACAACTGAGTTATTAACTGTTCTAGAACACAATCTAAAACAAAAAGAAAGAAGTATTTCCAAAGACAATCAGGTTAATGCCCAAAATTTTTGCAAGAAGCTTGATATTAAAAAAAAAAAAAACACTATGGGGGGAAAAAACATTGTGCTCCACTCCCATTAAATACTCATCTAGTAATATTTGTTACCAAAAAGCAATCTGATTCTGATTCTCCTTGGCCAAAATGAGAAATGCAAAGAGACATAAATGACATTAGAATTTTTTTTTTTAAGACTTTTTCATTTTTATAACAATTTTTTGCAACACAAGTACGAAGATTTATACAATAAAATTTTGAAATGAAAATATTTTCACAACAGTGGAGCAAGCAGTAACCGCTGCGCGTGCATTTCATGGTACTTCACTATCGGCTACAGAGAGAGGCAAGAACGCAGTCAAGATCACCTACCCTCTGATTACCTGCTGTCCGATCTCGTTCCACGCCAACAGAAGAGTTCTCTGCACAGATCTTTGCAAATGAGTTCACAAATTAGACCTCTACAGCTTACTGGCTTTGCATAGAAATCTCCATCCCTGCAGGATGCTGACAGGACTATTTCAGTATAGTTTCCTCATTATTTCAGCTATTTAACACAGGGTCACTAAGACTTACATAGATATGCACACAGGTACAGACGTCAGTACTATAACAAAGAATGAGCGCACATTCATAGATGTAGATCGCTTCTCAAATCTCTGCTGCACATTTGAACACGGACACTGACCAATTGTCTCTGCTTTAGTGCTCTCCATTCTTAGTGCATGTGAAGGAGCACGTATGACAAGCAGCAGCCTTTGAGGAGGACCTGGAATATGCAAGAATAATACTGACCTTCCCTCACTGCTTGCTTTAAAAAAAAAAAAGGAGGAAAAAAAAAAAAAAGGACAGAGACTTACAAGTAGGGTAAGAACCTTCAAGTCTGAAGAAGGCAGCCATTTAATAAGCTAACTTTTACAAGCTGACTTCGCATACCACCTTCCTCCAGCACAACACAGGCAGACTGTGGTTCTTCCTGCAGCAAGAAAAGACAGCGGCATTTTCGGCAGAGGTCCATTCCCGTGGGCACACAGCTGGCATGCCTGCTCCTGCCCCCATTCTTTCAGATGGGAACTGTGGTCTGTTCCAAAGTCTTGTCATCTTTTACCAAAGGTGAAAGCTAGCCCTCCCTTTTGAGGGCAATGGCTTCAATGACAATTCAGTCTAAAATCCAGGCCCCAGCACGCTAGTCACTGCTTTGCCTTTTTCACAATGGTGCCAACAGCAGAGATGACCGTAGTTTTGGATCCACTCGCGCTGGTTGTCACTGTGACAACACCTGGTAGCGTCGCAGTCGTGGTAAGGATGGTGGGCTGAGCTATCGTCGTTACAGGGATGGCAGAGTCCCACTTGCTCTTCCTCTTCTGTGCATCTGTGCATTTGATTAGATGAAGCAAATAAGGATTAGCACTGTGCTAAACAACATTGATCCTTTTATAACGCTTCTTCTTGTCAACTTTTAAAATATTACTGATTGACTAGACAAACCTTTCCTTGCATTCGTTTCAGCATATGCTGTCAGCAAATGCTGAGGAGGAAAGACAACTAGAGGAGCTTTATACTTCAAGAGTCAATGTAAAACTCCACACCTGAACTCCAGCCAAATGAGACAGGTTCACTCCCTGCCCCAAAGCATGTTTAGTTTTAATAGAGCACATGCATCTCAGCTCCTTAGGTATGTGCACGGAGCACTCCGTTTTCTCCTCTCTTCCCAGTTTAAAAGGCAGACTGTAGGCAGGAGAAGGATTTTAACAGCCTTCCCACTTGTCTAGAGCGGTACTAATCCCAAGAGAACTCCACAACACAGACATCTGCAGATCTCTTGACCCACTAGCAGACATTTTCACTGTCCAAGCTGTCCCTAGGCCTTCATTCCAGAAGGACCACCATGGGATACAGGGACTACAGGAAAGCTAGTCTATTAACTCTGGGAATAAACACTTTTCTTGTATTATACGCGCAATCAATAAGGAGCTTTTAGAGTTTCCAGGAAGCACTAATCCCAGCATTACTACAGCTTAACAGGTACAATCACAACAGGTTTTTACCTCCCACAGTGGTACTGGCTGTTGTGGTTGTCGTAGAGGCAGCACTTGTCGTTGTTCCCTTTTTAGTGCCAGTCACAAATTCAATCTGGGAAGGGAGAGGCACCCCAGAGAAAGGGGAGAAGAGGAAAAAAATATTAACATACACAGGCTTTTTTAATTCACATCTTTTTTCCCCTATGATTTTGGGCTTAAAGAAGAGCTTTAGTGTCATGAGACACTGGCTTCTGAGCTGACTGTCATTCAGGAAGAAAGATGTCCTCAGGCCAAAGTGTACTGAAATCATGATCATTAAGGGTCCCTGTGTCCCAGTTCCTAAGTCAGATACCATAGAAACATTTTTTTTTTTTAACTTTTTTTTTTTTTTTAAACTATAAGCATAAGGACTTGATGCAGTTTTTGGAGAATAAGGACAGGTCCTGGTCATTACGTATCAACCATATCTCTACGGTTGCATGTTTCTTCAAGGAAAAAGAATAGAAACTTCTAAGGCACGAGTCTCTACTTGCATGATTTACCATGACTGCATCAAAATAGGAAACCTAGCAACAACAATTACAACAGCATGCAATCTCATATATTCAAAATTGCAGATATGAGGAAGGAGAACGTAATCAGATACCAGGGTTACTGTGTAAAAAAACAGAACAAGTAGCAAGACGCAACATGCACAGGAAGTAAAGAGTACCTTCAAATGCAACTATTGAAGGAGCCCTCTGCTAGGTTAGACAGTCATTTCTAATATTCAACAGTTTTCCAATGCCAGTCACTAGCTTAAAGGCACCAAAGGAGAAGAATAAAATCTTCCAAAGCACATTTGTATTCTTAGTGGAGGGGGTACACGAGCATATGCATTTCTTAAGCTAAGACACTCCCAAGTTAAAGAACAGAAATTCGATATTGGCTCTCAATGAGATACGGTAAGGAATTTAAGCTGTATTAGGCTATGCAACCCGACCAAACGTCAAAGATTAAAAAAGCTGTTCCTCATGCAGTATCTTGTCTTTATGTGGCTTACTGAGCACCATTTTGGGAGCTCTGGTTTAAAAAGGCTGATAAAACAGCAGGAAAACCAGTGGAATAAGTGGATCTATAAGGAAAGGCAAACAACTTGATCTGTCCAGCTTAGAAAAGACATGCAGGAAGAAAGGACAGAACCAAAGGGGGGGAAAAAAAGTAATAGCACAGAGGAGAGTTCATTAAAAAAAACAGCAAAGCAACAAATGAAATTCATCAGAGAAACCAGAAATGTGTCTCAGTCCCATAGCTTTTGATTTTGAACAGCTACCTTTGTGCGCTCCTTCTTGGCCTTCTCCAGTTTGTCCATTTCAATCTTCTGTGCTTTAGCTGAGAAAGAACAAAATCAGAAGTTATAAGTAGTGCTAGAATCAGCAAAAACTCTACCTTACTTCCATCATGAACAATCAAAAATAATTTCAAATTATGTATAGAAAATTAAATTATTAAGAAATTACCTTCTTTTTAAGCAAAGCATTGCAGCACTACATTAATGATTTAAGAGATGAAGAAATTAAAGTAACAATTTAAATGAAAGGGCTTTCCAAACTGACGAAGCATCTATTAAATTCATGCACATACAGCTAGAATGAAGTAGTGCAAAAGCAGCGTGTGATGACTTTTCTTTTATAGAGACAGTAAAGATTCCAGAGCATTTCAGTAACTAAAAAATGAAAACAGCTAAGCTATGACAAAAAAATTCCTGGAATTACCTAGCGCCTCATAATATGAGTCTTCTGACCAACCATGAGGATCAAACATGTCCTAAAAGGAGAAAGAGTCAGTCACATCAGGGCTATTTTCACATATACACAACCCCAGTACAAAAGTGCTGTGTATTTCCGTTCACAGATGATATTCATTACCAGTTACTTCGTACATCCCAGTGACAAAAATCACATCAGACCTTTTGAAGGATCACGTTCTGTTGTGAATGGAGAAACATCTTTGAAAGTAAAAGGGCTCTGGGATAAGGTGTATACTTCTCTGCTGCTCAGCTTCTATCACCCTCTCAGAATTTCGGGTATATCCACATTTTTCAGCACAGTGTTAATTCAGAGTCCTTACAGCAAACTTGGAGGCACTAAGACTCAGTACCACATGCAAAACGGTCATTCAGTGCAGAGGATCGGGCTAACATTCCCTTAACGGACCTCTAAACAAGCAGGCTCAAGAAAGTCAAGGTGAGACCCCTCACCCCTGCATCATCTTTCACCCACCCCCTTGCCAGTCAGAAATATTGTACCTCACCTTTGGATAATTTGTACCAAGTTCATCAATTGAACAAAATTGGATCAGTTTTTCATATATGCTGCAAAGGAAAGACCAGAGTTTAGTTCTAGTTCAGTCACTCTCTTCTGATTTTCAGTGTTTCAGGTTTATTAGCAAAAAGCCTGTCATCTCTTCACAGTGTAACATTAAAATCAAAACCCAGGCAACTTTGCTTTCTGTGACGCATGCAGTGTGCCACCAACCACTTCCCAAGTTAATCTCACCTCTCCCAGAGCAAGCATCTTTTAAAATGATCTATACAAAATCTGTACGTTTAACAAGTTTAAAATCTAACTGGGGTGCTAACTCTAGATGCTGCCACATAGAATACCAAAGAGCAGCTTTGCTGTTTCAGTTACAATTGAATTATGCCTTTCCCAATTTTGTAAGCAGTAGCGCTTCTCGCTCAGGATCCCGTTTCTAATACAACTCCAATAGCAAAGAGAAAAAGCCTTGTGGTTTGCTGTGTGGTACTTTGGTGATACAGGACAGGATGATGGCTCACCTGGGGTTGCGGAACTCCTTTTTCCTTTGAATGATATAATTCATATCCATGCCCTCTTTTATTTTCCTCTCGTACAGTTTTTGAATTTTATCCTAAGGAAACAAGATCACAGGATGAACCAATACAAAAAGCGAGGAGCACTTCAGCTGACTATCAAAGCATACATGTGAAAACAAGCCAACTGAACGAGTGACATCCTTACATGGAGCAAGGATTGCACCTCCCCGCCAAGGCCAGCTAGGTTGGTTAGTAGAGACACTCCCTCCTTCACGGTCTGAAAGTATCCTCTCCGTGAACTGTCCAGATGGGTAAGGGAAGTGATCTTTGCAGCGTCTCAAGGCTTCAGTGATTAAAGACTTGTATTTGAGGCAGTAGCGCCCACTCCTTCTCTTCAGTAAGTTGATTTCCTCTATAACAGAGGCGGTGGAAAGGCAGAAACAAGCACCGAGGGGGACAAATAGCCGCACAAAGGTTCTTCCACAACATACAGTGAATGACCCACCCTCTGACTCAGACATGCACCTGAAGAACAGCTGCTGGGCTACACCATGCAGAAGTCAAAGCTCACAGCTACGCCTGGGTAACAGATGAGCAGAAGTGAGTTTTGCTGGAGAACCAAAACCAAGCTGGCCTACTCAGACAATGTGATCAGCAGGTATTGCTGGTGGTGTCTACTGGCAACCACGTGCTCTTAGGAACACCGCACGTGTAAACCTCTCCTTGGACACATGGCCAATTAGAGGGAAGCAACTTCTCTTTGGGGATCACTCGCACAGTTAGGCAAGTCTAAGAACATCTTAGTGAAGCCAGAAGCCCCTATGAAAGGCAACTTAACTGACTCAGGTCAGAAATGCCGAGCAGTCCACCTTCCAAAAAGGTGGACAGATTTAAAGAGAACCATGGCTTTGGAGTTTTGGTTTTGTTTTTTCCCCTCAGCAGGGTAGTGAAAGGCCTCTAAAGTAGTCTTACCCTGGTGATGCTGAAGGGATAGCAGAAACAGAAACTTTCAGGCAGAACACGCATTTCAGCAGTACTACTAGGAGAACTTTCTCAGTAACTCGCTTCATCTTTTTTGACACAAATTTGTCACGTATAAAAAGCATATAAAATAAGATCCCTGGCTCAACCTCAGTCTCACAAGACAGGAGAGCTATCGGGTCAATTTTCCTTTTCTGCTTCTGGGTAGGTCACTGCACGTCTCTTCCTCTGTACAGATATTCAACTCAAATACTGAACTGACTGTTGTCCAGGAGTTCAGTCATGTCTGAATAAAAGATGGTCACTGTTAAGAGCTAATATGAAATTGGTATTTCATGAACTTTAAGAAAAGAAAGCTTTATTTGATAAGTTTATCAGGCCCTCAGAAAATTAGCCAGAAGTAATTATACAATCTGCACACCCAAAGCCCACACCACAAGGTTTGAAGGAACAACTGCAACAAGTGGTGAGCTTTTGGGGTTGAAAGAATTGAATGCGTGCCTCCTTTTCTGACCTCCCTTTAGAAGCACCAATATAGTTCACATTGGTAACGTCCATAGATGAGGAGCTACTAGGTCACCTTTACAATAAGGAGGGCTCTCTTTGTCAGAGTTCAAGACAGTTTATTAGAGGAAGAGCCTGACAGAAGTAGCAAATCAACACTGAAGAGCCTAGAACATTTTGAGTTTCCAAAGAACAATCCCATCTCCTTGCTGCAAGTGCTCTAAGATGTGGTTTGACCTGCTAAAAGAGGACAAGTTCTTTGATTTAACCTGGTAAACTACTGTCAAAGGGGAAGATGCCTGCTTTATTCAGTCTACTCTCTCAAGCTCTGTGCATTCCTCAGATCTAACACATCGTAATTCATTGATGTCAGAACAATAAAATCCTGCTGCAGCATAAGAGAACTACTGGGTGCGTCTAGGTATGCCACACAGAGAAGAAAAGAGTGTGATCTGGATGGTGAGTCACTCACTCTGAACCACCATTCCACGTTAGTAGCTTGCTTTGTAGAGGTTTCCAAGTGTTTTTTTTTAAAAAAAAAAAAACAACCCCCTTCCCACTGCCCTTTCATTTGCCCTTCATCAGGAGGGGGAACAGAGCAGAAGGGGCTCCTCCACCTATCCTGGGAAGAAGTTTTATTATACACAGAAGTCTACAGAACTTCTCCCAGAAACACCATAAACCAAACTCTGTCAACGGAAGGTAACTCAATTTTGTTATTTTTGCTCTAAAGCAGATGGCACATTCCTTACTACTCAGGTAAGAGGCATTATTTGCAAACATAACTCCCTCATAGCTTTCATTTTGGATAGACGGTAGACAGGATGCCATCAGGGAATGCTCAGACCAACTGCTTTATGCACAATGCAGGTTGGATGCAGGGAATACTACAACTGGATGTTAACATTTCTGCCACACACAATCAGAGCCAGAGGCTCAGTTAATAATATTGTAAGTCTAAGATTTGTAGGACTGGCAAGTCAAGTCCATAACAAAAGTTTGTTTGCAAATCATCCAACTGATGAAAAAATCCTTATATTACAAGGCAGAATTAAGATACTCATGGAAGTGGACTGTGGCAGTCTCAAACTGATCATTACTGCAATTATTTGGGCGTGCACCAGAGAAAACAAGCATTTGTTTTCTTTCACTGCCTCTAGGTTACTAGCCTTCTCTCTACATGTTTATCATCTAGAGATATGTAGGTGGAAAAGGAATCCAGTTAATGCTGCCTCAACTATTCCAGTTAGGGGATTCTCAGGCCCATGCAGAGAAACAATGATTTATTCTCTCCTACAGAGCTGAATTTGCTGAGGTAAGAGGATAGCAGCCTTCACAGTAAACATTGCTTCTGTATCACTGGTGGAATCAAGAGCCATTTTAATGCACAAGTGACCCACACAGACTGCGGAGAACAGCATAAAGCTAATTCGAGACTCCTAAAACAGAATTGCTGCCAAGTCTGAAGTATTAAAACAGTACATTCAGGAACTCAAGTATTATTAAAAAGCTTTAATGCAAGATTTGTGCAAAAACACCAAATTTTCAGAGGTCTCCTTCCCCACAGAAATATAAGCTTTTTAGGGAAAATAAAGCAGAAGAAAACTTATACCAACCTGTAAGTGGTTAGAGCATCTGCCAGGAGGCTCAGGTGGGATTTTGATCTCGTCAGGAGACATGTTCCGCACTCTCTCTGAAAAAGAGGCTGTAGAGAACAAACTGGGCATGAGTTCTGGCAATACAGAAGCAGTTAAAGTCCATGTAAGTCATGAAACTTGTTTTATGTCCTTGACCAGCGCTACTCTATCACCAAGAACCAATGGGTAAATATAATAGGGGAATGCTGTAAACTACTAGTCATGGTATTTTGGAAGTGCTGTTAAAGAAGCAACTAACCTAAAGGGTAGATCATTGGTAGAATGATGATGCTTGAGAAGTATGAGAGGTATGTGATGCTTGCAGTATTGACATCTACCTTATACTGTAGCTCGGTGTTATACCCATGCTTAAAGCTTTATATTGAGTCTTTTCACACCGAGCGGTAGTGTGAAAAAGCAGAACTATCCCCCACCCTAGCTGTGGTTGCTGATAAAATCCTCAAAGACAAAAGAACCTGCAGAAGAACAGAAATAGGTTCACAGCATATTCCACTAGCCTTGCGCTGTGCACCACATACTGAGCTTTCCACTACTCCAGATCATGCATATGCACTTTAAAGTCCTGCTCTGAAGAGCTCAGATAACCTGGAATCTTCAGCAAGACTTGAGACAAGATACTCTTGCAGAGAAAAATCAGACTCTGTATCTGAAGCAGCAGAGGATGAACCTAATTCAGCCTGGCCCACGGCCGTATTTGGGAACCTAATCCATTTGGATCCTATTTACTTCAGGATTTACCTACGTGAAACAAAGTGGTTCAAAAAGCAAACAACCCTCTGCAGAGCCGTCAGGAGTTAGCCACAAGAAGTAACGTTTGGTCCTGAAGTTAACATTTCCTTAATGGGCACTTTAATCACTTACAGAGTCAGGCCATTATTAGAAACAACAACTTGTTCTGTGGGACTGAGGACAAACCACCCAGCGCACCAGGCTCCTAGAGGCAGCCGTATGTGCTGGGCTACGCTATTACGGTACCCGACTGCTCTGTGAGGATTAATTCACAAAGGCGTCAGCAAGACACTGCCATGCTTCCCCCTTTTGCTTGCTCCTTTCCCACTCGGTTATGGAAAACCCATGCAGCTTCCTGGCTAAGCCCTAGAGCAGAGCTTCAGGCTGTATTTAAGCAGCCAGGTTTGTTCTCAACCAACCATAGTTAAGACACCCCGACAACAGCACAGAAATCAAATGAAGACATTCACATTTGTGGCTCCTCAATTACATATTCTTGAGTAGAAGCTGACTGAACTGCAGTTCCAGCACGCTCAATTCAGCTCCTCCGACCAAAGCCCAGAAGGGCCCACAGGGCAGACCTTGGCATTTGGGCACAGCATACTATCCCGCTGTCCAGCGCAGACTATCAGAGAGCTGAGGCTACGGATAATCAACGCTACATGTGTTCAGCACTACTCCAGTTTCTCGTTCTTTTGTCAAAATGTAAAGCAATAAGGACAATATCCTTTCGGGACACAAAGCTGGCAGGCGACCACTTGTTCTAGTCGATCAAGACATTGCTGAGGGTTAAATTCTTCAGCAGTTGCAAATAATGAAGAAAAAGCGTCCTTTGGCATTTACTAAGAGGGTGCCTCTACAGAGAGGGAAAAGCTTGCCAGAGTCCCTATAGAAAAGCAGGGAAACTAGAGCTCCCTGACAACAAGGCTGACATTTGTTATAGGTTACAGCTGCTAGAGGGATGGGGAAGTCTCTAATTTAATTAGAATTTCAGGAACCCAGAGAAACAATTGTAAATAGACAGAAATGGTCGTAATAGACAGCATACTAGGCTTCCAGAAAAGCTGATCAGTGACCTACAAGTTTTACAATGTCAGTAAAAACATTAAAAAAAGGCAAAAAGCCTACAAAGTCCCGACTTCGGGGGGGGGGAAGTACTTAAAAACCAAGCCTAGCTCCCAGACTAGATATCCCCTAGCCTTTTCAGCTTCTTTGCTGATGACCAGAAAAGCCACAGAGAAACATTTAGGGGGAGGGGAATTCCGGGTTCCTGTTCACTCAGGAACGAAGGGCAAGAACGCTGTCTAGCCAGCGAAGAAGGCATATAAAGCTGTAAGAGCATATTTGGCAATCAATTCAAAGCTCCCTTTAAACAGAAATAGTAGTGGAGAAAGAACACAGAACTCGCACTGGGACGATGTATTTTGACCCAAGGCATTTACAGCTCACTTGCCCTTTTGTTTGAGCCATATGAAAGCAATCAATTATCATTTAGAGTGGTAAGGGGAATCATCTCTTAACAGGGTATAATAAACTAGAATTAAGACATCTTTGTCCACTGCAATCCCACTGTGGCTGCACATAGCGGAAGGCTTCTAGTCAGCCGTGAGGCTACGTGTACTGTTCCACCTTCCAAACTGAGCACAGACAACTGTTCATCATTACTCAGCTATTTCATCACATCACATGTCGGATTTAGGAAGAAAAGAATGAGTTTAAAACCTGTGGGTTTATATACAGCAAGAAATTGCACAGAATTCATGCCCTTGAGCAGTCCTCAGACTCCTCTCCAAACAGATACCAAAGTAGCTGATTCCATGGCCTTTTCCAATAGGTCGTTCCCCTGGAGATAGCTTGGATCATCCCTCCAGGGGACCGTGGAACTGGTGCAGGTACCAGCCGCAAGGTGCTACGGTGCTATGTAACAGGTCTTGTGTTTTCAAAGACCCAAGCAAACGAGCATTCTGCTCCCAAAAGTTTCTCCCCTGTGTATACAGCAGTAAATGTAAATGAAGAGCTAACGCCAAGGTGTGTCCTCACAGGATATATCCAACTGCTTTTTGCATCCTGTTATTTCTACCAAGATCAAAGCTTTACTTTTACATGAGTCAGAGGCAGTGACACTGGCCGCAGTTTCTAAATGGACCTGTGATTTGCTGGCTCATCTCCACTTGGGGACTTCAGGAAGTTGGTTGTTGGCATGATAAATCACTACAGGCACACCCAAATTCTGACTAGTAATGAGTAAATAGCTTCACCTGCACTATGAATCTGATTAGGAAAAGAACATTTAAGAAACAGGCCACAGAGCAGATCCCATGAGTCAGCCGGGAGTCCAAGAAAGCGGGAGCCAAGGCACCTGCTGAAAAGGGAGCTGGCTACTGTTGCCAAGTCCATACATTCTCCTTTCACAGGCTGACCTAAAAGTTAAAAATTTTAGCACCGTATGAAATAGGTACTCATGGCTTTTGGTGTAGCCAGTACCCGCATCATGGCAAGGCAGAGATGTCCAGCTGGTCCTGAACACTGAGAGAGAGGCCAAAGCGCTACTAGCCACTAGGATGCATTTCAGAAAGATTCAGAACTTCAGTAGTCAATGGAGAATATTTGTTTGCCAGAGGCCTTGATGAGACAGATAATTATTAAAGCGTTACATTTAGCCTGGTTCCGTTTCAGATGGATGGGTTATTTGGCCAGTATACCAAACAGAAAAAAAGATACTGCAAAAGCAGGACAGAAGAGAGGAGAATATAACAACGCCAAACTGCAAAGAGCGCACTGCCACAGTGCAAACTGTTCAGGCAGTTCCTTCCAGAAATAAATGACTGCTCACAGTTCAAAGGCTATGCTGGAGACAAGGGCACGAGAGCTCATGAGAGCTTCATTTCCTGCAAATGGCTAGCCAGTTTTCTTTAGTGCAGTGAGAACCAAAAGAAAACCAAACATGAGAGTATCTGGCAGCACCTGGACAGATTGGAGTGTGGATCATATGAAGATCTGGTAAAGCATCTTGTCTCAGTGCTCTGAGTGAACAACACTGTTCCCCAGGTAGGATTAAAATCTTGTCCCTTTCCAGGTTCACTTGTGTGCTGTACCTTAACCAGCCACAAGGGATTACAGGTAGTATCAGGTGCCATCACACACGATGGAGGAAAAAAAGTGGAAACGGCAGAGGGGCATGGCTTTCCCCTAGAAACATGCAAACCAGTGGTGCCTGGTCTCTAAAACTGCATTCTTTGGCATCCTAATCAAGTCTGCTTGGCATAACCCAGGGTGTGTGGGTTTCTGATTTCCTGGCACCAAAACAGCCAAATCACAGGAAAGAATCTGAGGCAACAACATGCCAGTGAGTCACCCATCCATGAAAGGATACCAGTTCCCCTACTGTTCTGTGGGCTGAGAAATGCACAGAAAGACCAGCATCTCAGCCATATTTTCTGCGGTTATGAACACTGACTTTGTGTTCAGATATCCTAAGGGCAGGAGAGGACGTTTCTTATAGGCTGAAAGGTAAACAAAACCATGCTGCAAAAAGCCTTGGGACAACACACACATCCTAAAAGTATTATTTTGCAAGGCCACAGGAAACAGCAAATGGAGATGCGCTGTCAGTAGCGCGTACTCTTTAGAGCAGTACAAAAATGAGGACAGCACATGGATGCAGAAATGTATAAAAAAAGTTCCACATATACTCCCTCTTCAACCACAGAGCAGTTACTGCTGGAAACCTCCCTTCCAGTCTTTCAGGCTTGGATTACACAGTCACTAATTCAGCATAAGTCAGGACAACTGTGCCTTTCCCAGCAGCTCATTTTTGCTGTTTCCTTTGTGCCAGCCCTAGTGCTCACCTGACAGGCACTAAGCAGACCAGGGAATGGATCCTGCTGGCAACCTCACAGGAAGGAGGAGGAAAGAAAAGAAGGTGGGGGGGGGGGGGGGGAAGAGAGAAGGTAGATCTCTGCTGGCTCAGTCTCCTCGTCCAGCTCACAGCACTCAAACATTATTAGTATGCGTATAGGGGAGGTAGAACAAACACTCCTTTTGGCAAGAGCCTGCATTTGTGCTGTACTTAAGTGGCTGCATAACCATGGACTTAGCTAGTGAAGGTGACAATGAACAGCAATAGGTTATCCAAGAAGGGCAAGCCGCAGCTTTTAATGGAGAAAGCTGTTTTGGAGAAATAAGGAAGACTTACACTTCCACATACTGATATTAAGACAAAACTCTAGATCTCCAGATTGGAGAAGTTACTTGCTTTGCATCTGAAAATCCTCCATCTTTTTCCATTCAAGAATTCTAAGCCTTTAAAAGCCCCAACTTCCAGGAAGGGAGTGGTTCTTGTATTACACAAACCATATGGCTCTTGCAACTGTTCCTTTCCAACTAGATAAGATATGGTCCAATTGAAGGGAACTACAGAAGCAGCATGGCGAGCGTTCTGCTCCCAGGTAACCTGGTTCTGCACAAAGCTAGCCCACATGTTGCTCTGTCTGCTGCTATTAGGAAAGGATATTAAAGGTCTATTACAACCTTAATCCAGGTCTCAGACTCACCAATGCTGTTTACCCAAAATACGTGATGCCGAGTGCCCTGTGTGCAGCTTTCAAACTTGCATGCAAGCCTGGGCAGTAATGAAGCAAAAGAGGTTCAGTCTCCTAAACCTCCATGGATGGGGCAATCTCTGGGGGACAGGGGGACTATATCATAATTGTAACTAGAGTGTTATACCTGAACTAAGAGAGGAATTATCACTATATTGCTTCACTAGTGCAGAGCTTCACTCATATGAAAAGCAGAGAGTAGAAGGGTAATTGGTGTTCAAGTATTTATATATAGTCTTTACCCTAAATGCTGTTGTTGTTTGTGTTTCTTGTGTGTATTTTACAGCAGATCAGCAGTTTGGAGAAAGATCTCTATTGCACTCCGTGATAAGACTGGTTAAGGTAGTTTTGCCCTCTAAAGGCTGAACGTTTAGTATAAGAGTTGGGTTAGTGCAGAGTCTAGGCAGGCCACTTGCAAAGGATCTAAAACCAAAGATTCAGTGACGGTTGCTTTAAAAATCACACCTTAGCATCTTCATACTTACTGTCCAATAGTTTGTTTTAAGTTTATTGCAGAAACACTTAGTGGACAAAATATCACAACTGAATCTGGACAAGCTGACTTGACAACAAACAAAGCAAGTTCTACACTCGTGATTTATTGTGGTATCATCACATGCTGCCACGCAACTGTACTGATAACCTCAGGAACAAAGGGTTAGTTTGAGATGGTCAGAACATCAACATAAAATACAATAGCACTTTCCACATAGCCCCACAAAAAGCAAGCAGAGGATACTATTTCTAGCCGATTACAATGGATTTTCCAAGGGTTTGTTCCAAATCTAATCATTGTGCAATGAATAAGTGAAACATCACAAAAATCAAATAGTTTTCAAGAAACATTACTAAACATATAGGGTGTGCTGGGTTAACACAGTGCCTATAAAGCACTCTATGAATCACATTTCAGTAGGGGGACTTTAGGTACCTAAAGTTTTTGAAACCACAGAACAAAGCATCCCTCATCATTCATGGTTATACTGGCTCCCACAGAGGCCGCTTGGACAAAGCTACGCTATACTGTTTTTCAGCTCATCTGGAAAAACACCAGCGTTGCCCGTTACATATCTGATACAAAAGGGGGAATCCATAACATCTAGTTTGAATATATGTGAGTTAATAAATACTTCTTAGTGAACTTACCAACTAGCTCCTGGGGATCTCTTTTCTCCAGTTCTGAGAATTCCTGGGAGGAAGGGGGAAGAAGTAGATTTTAATCAAGGTATGTTTCTGACTTAAAAAGCTATACTGTCTTTTTTGTTGTTGTTTACAAGTTTACACATTACTTCTGAGACAACAGAATAAAAATGAAGAATGAAATGCAAGTTATTAGATAATAGGGCAATGTTTGCACCATGGAAATCTAAAGCCTTACAGGATGCTCTGTTTCCTTCCAAAGCTAGCGTCTAAATTTAATCATATAATTATGGCTTTGTTTCTGTGAGTCCTGAACACTCAGCTCCTTTTGAATTCCATGAAAACTGCTGCACTTGAAGGCTTTCCTCACAACAGATCAAACCATGGATTCTTCATATCCAGAGACTGGCATTTGAGACTGGCCAAGAGTCAGTGCTTTAGAGCATAGCCAGCTAAATACAAGCTGGATCCAGCCCATAGAAAATGACTCGGATCCTGGAAATGCCTACAAGAGGCCTGTGCAACAGGCAGTCCACTAAGCAGGGCCAGCAGGATGCGTTCCCCAGAGAGTAACATATAAATAGCTGAAATGCTCCCAGAGCCAGCAGCAGAGCGCAGCCGCTTCAGAGGCATCCGAGCTGCCTCTCCGCCGACCCCTGAGCATCCACACTACGCTCACCAGCGTCCCAGGCTGCAGAGGTTTCCTAGGTGTGCGTGGTGCCAGAATTCACTCCTGCATTTGTGCCGTTGAGGGCTTTGGCTAATAAACCCTGCAAGAATCAAAATGCTGGGGAGCGCAGTGGTGATACAGACACTGTATTCCCACTTTCGAAGAAGGCTCCCGCTATCAATTTCCTCTTGCCAGCCCTGCCAGGAGCAATACAGCTGAGCTGCTCTATCGGCAAATCAAGGGCAAACGCCAATGAGCTGAGAAAATCTGTCAACGTTTCAGCATGGACTAATGCATTCTCAGTAACACTGGTATAAGGTAAAGGCAGCTTCAGCTGTGGGAGCGCAGCAGATGTCTGCATCAGAGTCTGCTCAGCAGGTGGTGTTATGCAGGACAAGGCACTCCTGAATACGCCTTCAGTACGCCGAGACCAATGTTCAAACGTTTCGGTACTTCTGAGAGATCCCAGGAGAGCCACGAGTAAGATCAAGTTCAGCACAAGTAAGGTTTATGAAACACTAACAACTGTATCCTAACATTGTCCTCTCCCTCCTCCCTCCCAAAGGCTTTTTGTGACTCACTGGACTGTGTGTCACAAATTCCCCAGTGCCTCCGAACACTGGAGCTATTCATTCAACCTGACACAGACATAATGCTGCCTCCTTGCTGCTTAGTAACAGCACTTTAAACCCCCTCCTCTATTCCACTTCCAAGCAGGTGAGAGGCGCGTACGGTGCGGAGAAAGGAGGAACAAGGTCGCCAAGCCAGTCTGGGAACATGCTCGGTCAAATTCACCGTGAAAACCTACCGGTTTCCAGAGGAGCCAAAGCCCTCCAGGAGCAGGAAAAAAACCACGCACATTCTCTCTGTGGCACTACGCTGCTATGTGGCACTACTTATAGCCCTCCATGAAAAAAAGCACTGTCTCTCCATCGTACACTAGGAGCACAAAAACCCCACAAGGCTAATGCTATTTTAGAAAAAAAGTACACGAAGGAACACGCATCTTCTTGCTGGCCAGCTGGCTACGAACCAGCCTGCTTCGTGCGGCACCGACACGGGCTGTGGCGTAACAGCCCCGACCGCTCTAAGCGGACACGCTTGGGCCAGCCTATTAACACCTCTTCTCCCAGGGTCTTCAGAAAGAAGAGTACAACCAGAAAAGGTTATACAGAAGTACGACGTTTCAAAGCGGAAAACGAAGCGTGCGCTGGAAGAACGAGCCCTCTTTGGCAAGGGCGCTGGACAGGAACTCAGGCAAGCGAGGCCGCCTTCTCCGCGGTCCTGCATGGCGTTAACACGGTGAGCCTCAGCTACACAGAGCCAGCGAGCCTCAGTTTGCCATCAGTGACACGAGGAACAATTCTGCAGTAATTAATAATTTCTGTGAGGACAAATTCAGACTAGCATGCAAATGTTGCAAGCAGGCTGGTGAAGTTCATAGAGCTGCAGATGCAAGGGAAACATATGTGCAGACAGCATACAATTGCTCACTGGTAGTTTAAACGCTCAGACAAAAGGCTGCTTTATTTCCTTGTGGAGGGAAGATGCATACTTCAATGTATTCCTCACCTTCGTTTTACAGGCAGAGAACAAATATTTGTAAGGATGAAAGGAGGGAACTGCGTTGCTTCACCCTTAGCTGGTCTATAGCCAATATTCTGTTGGAAGTTTTCTGTTACAAACAGATTGATAAGGAAGAGGGAGACTACGTCCTTAAGCACCCCTTGATCCTTACTCCTATGCAGCACTATTTTATTTACTCCACTATCCCTCCCATCTTCTCCACCCCATCCCTCCTCCCACCCTCCAAGAGCGCAAAGAAAAATCCCTGACACAATATTGCCAGGCATATACTTAAGCAACCCAATGGCACAGTCAAATTCAAGAGCTTTAGACACGCATGAAATGCCCTCAAGAACAGACCAAATTAATAAAGCAGCCTTAGCAGGGTTGCAGGAGCATTCACTGTATTTTTGAAGTTTTCCAAACCCCACTCTCGAGTCTCTCGCAGCTGTCTGGAGCCAGTGCCAAATGCATGAACGCAGTTGTCAGGAAACTGAGTTAATTCCAAGAAATAACTTGACAGGGCAAAACCTCTCTGGGTATCTGTCTTAGATCTCTGAAGTATCAGATGTGTTAAACAGTATGTTTTATGAATTTCCAGAGTCATAAGTTTTTCACTACCACAAGTTTGTCCTTTAACTTGTGCCCTCGAATCCTAGAGCTACAGCACAAGTCTGCCCCATAACAGCCTAAGTGAAACCAGTCCTATCAGGCTGCAGCTGTGTATTTACCTGGCCTAACCACCAACACCCATTTCAACACAGCCACTCTAGCAAGTCTCATCTCCATACCCTCAGGACATTGCCAAAACATCAGAAACCCTAGAGCTATGCCAAGCAAAAGAAAACAAGTTCACTAACATATTATAGCCACACCTCACTGCCCAGAGGATATGAAGTCTGCTTACTGAGGAATTACTGCTTACCTACACCCACTGCTCCATGATTAACAAGCTGAAGACATCAACACAGCTTTTCATTAGTCAGACTTCTTTCAAGCCTCTCAAATGCCTTCAGAAAACAAAGGGATGACCGACCCCTCCTAGGGCACTTGTTCATATTTGCTCAATTTACTGTCCAGCACTACAGCAGGCAAGTATCAACAATCTGACCAAAGGCACACAGTCTGGCAGATGCAAGAAGTCTCATTCAAGCCTATTGCACCTCCTGAAGGTCCAGAACTCAAGGTTAGGTCCAAACACCTTGAGTCAAGTAATTAGCCAACAAAAGAAGTGTCCTACGCTAATTTTTTAACAGCTATCTAACACTATTTTGTTAGTGAATTGACCCACTACACAGGGCAAGCAAATATACTTCCAGAGATGCTTAAGTTGAACTGCATAGAGGTACTTACAGCACAGCAAGCATCCACAGGAGAGGCAGTACAACATACCCATTATACCCTAAATTGTCACTTCAGCAGCACAAAATAGGCCAGGTGTCTTGGACTTCATTTTTCAAAATCTTGCTTCAGCTAATTCAAGACTGGGGCACAGGTTGAATTCAAGAGGTTAATTAGAAAAGAGGACATTTTAAGAGAAAATAAATGTCTTCTGCAGATCTGATCCTATATAACGTCGAACAAGGGAATCACTGAGCAGATAAATGAGGTACAATAAATATTGCACAGTTCCTATCTTAGTTGTGAAAGAGAAAGAAATAAGTTGGATGCTGACAGAAGATTCGTACAGAAATTCCAAAGCAGTTAAGCAATGGAAAATTTGGGAGGTAACTGAAGTTTAAATAGACAAGTTATTTAAATCCATTCAGGGCAAGGTGATCTTTTTGCAGATTAGGGTGTCACCAGTACCCTAATGCACAGTACTATGCTTCAGTATCTTGGCCAAAGTGCAAAAGTCAAGCTACTGAGTGGTACTGTTCAGGCAAGATTATACACCAAATCTCATCTTCTGAGCAACTAGATGGAAGTTATTACAGCCTTTAAGTATCCTAGAGCCAAGGCAGCACAGGAGCATTTCCATTTGGATCCTGATCATTGATAAGTAGCCAGGATTTCAGCAGTGGCACCTGCCAATCCTGCTGTGTTCACAACCCTGAGCTCTAAGAGGCTGCGTGGGAACATCTCTGAATCTACTTCTGCAGCCAGTCTGCTCACCATTTGCACAAAGTCAGCCTGGACAAATCAGTTTTGCCAAACACTCTTTACCACCACAGAAATACAAACTCGGCAAAAAAGCCATTCCCTTTTTCATTCCTTCTCTCTAACCATTTTATCCCATCTGGTATTACTGGTAGTCCTCTTTCTCATGCACTCAGCAAGTTGGTTTTCTGGCTGCTGTCTAGCTGCAGCATAAGCCTCTGTGGATCCACTGTTTAAGGGCCTAAAGCCAGACAACCTTGTTCCAATAGACCCACTGAAAGGAGTCAAGGGATGCTGCAGTGGCTCAGGGCCAAGCTGGAGGAGGACCAAGAGAAAGCCAGGCAAGGGGGAGATAGTCCCTGGATCAAGGGAAAGGAGTCTAACAAAGAACAGCAGCCTCCAAAGAGCTTAACGGTTATGGGGAAAGAAGAAAAAAAGAAAGTTTTTTGAACACATAACTGGACCACCCACCAACATAAGTCACAATTTCTGCACATCTAAGAGTGATTGTGCACACCTTGGATATGACCTCACAGAGAGGAGCACAGTTACTTTATTACTATTCCTATCAGCATTTAGGAAAGTTTTCCATTTTTTACTACTTCTCTAGGACAAAAGGCCGTGTCTTCAAGCCTTGAGCAAGACAGCACTGCCTGTGATAGCCTGACTGATATGAACCCAATGTCATAGTTAGGCTTTCTTATCATCAGTTA